CGTTCAGGACTGACTTTTCACAGGAGTAGAAAGCCCTGTCTTTCTCCCTTGAAACAGCTAGTGTTTTAAATCACAGCCCAACACAAAACCACTAGAAGGCACCAGCCAACCAGATTGAGGAACGTTAAAAAGTACAACTACCTGAGACAAGGAAAGGCCTAGGAACTGTCTTAGGCAACTAAAAAAACCCAAAACAAACCCAACAACCAAATAAGTACATAAAAATAAGAAGGCACTAAATACCATGAGGGACCCTACATGTACCCTGGATTAGACAAAGGGCCTGAGTAGAAGTGATGAAGTCTGATTAATGTTTTCAGTCTACAGTGTCATACCAATACAAACAGATCAAATTGGCGACTGTACTGCGGTTATGCAAAATGTCGAAGTTAGTTCTGGAACCAGAGGGACTAGATTAACCACCCCACCACCACCACCACCCCAAAAACAACTACTGGCCTAAGATAATCTTTAAACCTTAAACCAAAAATATTCCTTGGCATCTTCATGAAAATCAAACCAACAGTTTAACTTAACTATACTACCCAACTCCTCAGGCTGACAGATTAGGTTCCAAAGACCAGGTCGTTGTGTGAAAATCATTGTTTTGTAGAAAAACGGCGGATGGCTATATCCACTCCAGATCAGATAATGGAGACAACTCTATCATCACACAGCTGTTCGATTGCCTCCTATATAACTGCCAATGACATCAGTTCATAACTGCCAAACCACTCAGAAGCACAGCCCAGCCAAGCTGACACATCACCCTAACCATCAAAGCTAGTCTTACTCTTGCTGCACCAAGAATTGCCAAATGTATATCCTAAATGTGCAGAGTAGTAGAATATAGTTTGTGGGTTTTTTAAACTACTGTTGTGAATGTGAACTACTGGAAAACAAGTAAAAAGTTGCTGCAGTGCAAAAAGTCTGCCGAAGATGGCGCCAAAGGTGAAGAAGGAAGCTCCTGCCCCTCCCAAAACGGAAGCCAAAGCAAAGGCTTTAAAAGCCAAGGAGGCCCTGCTGAAAGGTATCCACAGCCACAAAAAAAGATCAGCACAGCCTGCACCTTCCCTTCCGGCGGCCCAAGACCCTGAGACTCAGAAGGCAGCCCAAATGCCCTCGGAAGAACGCCCCCCCGGAGAAACAAGCTGGACCATGATCGAAAATACAACACACTTGTGCTCACTGTGGATGTCAAAGCCAACAAACACCAGCTCAAACAGGCCGTGAAGCAGCTCTATGACATTGACATAGCCAAGGTCAACACCTCGATCAGGCCTGACAGCGAGAAGGCTTATGTTCAACTGGCTCCTGACTGTGACGCTTTAGATGTTGCCAACAAAATTGGAATCATCTAAACTGAGCCCAGCCGGCTAATGCTAAATATAAACTTTTTCAATTAAAAAAAAAAAAAGTCTGCCCGAGCTTCATGCTTCTTTTAAGACCTAGAGACATGGGATTAAGAGACATTGTGGCACTGTGGGCTAAGTGTTGGGCTGCTAACCACTAGGTTCATGGTTCAAACTCACCAGCTGCTCTGAGGAAGAGAGATAAGGTTATGTGCGCTCATAAAGATTTACAGTCTCAGTAACCCTATGTAGGGGTGCAGAGCCGTAATCAACTTTATGGCAAGGCATATGTTGAGTTTTGTATGGGATCAAACTAACAACTCAAACAATTAAGATAGGAACCTCAGGGGCATTGAGTTTATGTCAATGGGGAGGACACAACTTGGAAAAAGAAGGGAAGGATGGTTGCAGAATTTGAATGCAATCGATGTCAAGGAATCGCACATGTAGAAACCGTCTACTTGGCTTATGTCCTGCTGTGTATCTTCTCAAAAAATTTTTTGTTAAGTTAAAGTTAAAAATATAAGACATTAATGTTAGGTAACCTGGGTAAAAGGTAAAAAGGAACTCCCTATACTAATTTTGAAGCCCTCTATAAATCTGTATTTATTCAAAACAAAATCTTAAAATTAAGAATTCTGAAAATAAATAAAGAATTCTTTATATGTTTCCACTTTAGACATGAATAACTCATTTGGCCACCTGCTCTTAAAAATGAGGGTTGTAATCACTTTCGGTTCTTCCTATCTCCTAATTTGGAACCATTCGTCAAGCATGTCTAAGCACTCACGTCACAAGGTGACTGTGCCTTGGGGAGCTCCTGGGAGGACACACAGTGGAATGTGCTCATCCAGTGTGGGAGAGGGCAGCAGGTGTGAGGACGGCAGGTGTGAGAACGCAGGGAAGGGGGCTGGGGAGTCAAGGAAGGGGAAAAGAAGCTCGGAACTTCAGTCTTGTAAAGAATGTTATCATTTCCTGAGGGAAATGGGCACGCTCACAGGGCTTTCTGGTGGTTTCTAACACACACACACAATGAAAAAGGCAAAAGTCAGCAGGCTAAAAAATTCAGTAGGTTATGTTTTCATAATAGTCCCAAGCAGCTCTCTGTCCCCACTGAATACACATGCACTAACACTTAAAGTCGTATTGTAAGGAAAACCCTAATAGAGGGTTTTTAACCATCAGAAAAGAAAGCCTAATGCGCTGCCTCACCTCATGGACTTCCTCATTCCCTGGCCCTGCTCCCTCCTTTACTAATGACCACACTAGAAATCCCTGCCCTTCCACTTCGGACACCCTGCTCACTTGCTGGTGCAGGCAAAGTATAAAAGCTATGCTGGCCCCACATTAGGGCCCAGATCTTCCGGACGGCTAGTTCCTCTGGGTGGACGGCGCATGGATTTTTCTCCTTTCAAGAAGTTCTCCAGGGTGCTGGCTGGTCATCCCAAGCCACAGTTTTGCTGCTATAATACTGAGGCTTATCTTCAGAACAGCCCTGTTTTTGTGGTGTAGGGATACGAGCTAACCTCCCAGAATGACTGGCCTTCAGCTAAGCAGGCATTCCCAGTGTGTTGTCCAGCTGCTGAGCCACCTCTCCAGCACACAGGCTGGCCAACCACGGGCAGGCACACTGCGCCTACCACCACCCCCCCAACACCTTTAGCACAAAGCACACATGCTTGTGCACACAGCAGCAGTGATCTAAAGTGAGTTTCAGGTACAGAAGTTAGAGTGCAAACAGGCTGAATAACCCACTTCACTCAAAGTGGTCTAACTGGTTTGAAGACTAGCCCCTACAACTACTCTCCAACCCGGAAACCCCCCTTAGCGGATCCTTTCCTGTCCTGCCTGCTGCCACTGAATACAGTACTGCCTTGTTCCTACTCTGTAAGGCCCCCAATGCAAATAATGACTCTGGGATTGGCTCCAGGTCTGTCTTTTGGTCCCTGGAGCCTTGGTGGCATAGTGGGTTACACACTGGACTGCTAACGGTCAGCAGTTCAAATCCACAAACTGCTCTGTGGGAGAGAGATGAAATTTCTACCCCCATAAAGACTTGCATCTCGGAAATCCATAAGGGCAGTTCTACTTTGTCCTGTAAGGTCACTGCAAGTCGGAACCAACTCAATGGCAGTGCATCTGGCTTAGGCCCAAACATCTGGCTAACAGTAAGATGGGGTTTTAATTTTTTTAAACCAAAATTTGTCTGCCTTTCTTCAGCAGTATGACAGCATGTAACCACTAAGCACGCCTGTCCTTCGGTGTCTGAATAAACACACATGTATAGAATAGACAGTAGTTCTCTCAAAACTACTTAATCAAATCATTGCTACAGCCACTGGCTAACAGGCCCTTCTTTGCAAAAATTGCAAAACAAATATTATTGGGTTTTTTGTTTTCAGCTGCAGCAGTCTGAGACAGCACTGTGTTCTCTGCTGGCCCCCACTTTTAAGTTAGAAGGCCCCTCTCCGATTTTCTGAGCAGGGTGTAACTGAATGAGATTAGAGCTGTACCTTATGTTTTTAAAAACGGGCCTCTCACTTACTAGCTCTTTCATTTTGAAGGCAGTGACGATCACCCTCAGGAGACTTGGCAATAAATTGTCTTCACAAGCATCACGTGTTCAACACTAACAGACTACCAGAGAACTGTGTCCTCTGAGGGGTAAGCTGCCAGCAAAACGTTTTCACAGTACTTGTCAGTTATTGCTCGAATAGCGCCACAAAGCTGGCTGGCACCCATTTTAACCAGAATCTGAATAAGGCCATTCCACAGTGGACGACGATCAAGTTTTAGAAAGCAACAGGGCGATCCCGTTTCCTGATTAAAATGGGCATCCTCATGGGGACGGTTTGGTTCGTGGAGATAACACTTCTGAAAGTCAGACGTAAAACAGATACCACTTGGTTGGGTTTTTAAAAAACACTTTGTTACTGTTGCTGAAACACTGCAAAACATACACAACGTAACAGTGCACAAGGTACAATTTCGAGATGTTAATCACATTCTTCTACCACCTTCTTTTCAGAATCCAGCGGTTACTTTTACTTTTTAACACTTACCTGTTACCTCATTGTCCCCGACGATTGCGCCTGACGTGCACAATCGGGTCAAAAGATAAGACCACGGCCACACCAGATGCCCTCTACCGGGGCGCCCGGGAGGCTAAAAGAACTCATCATTCTCCAGCACGGGGCGAGGAGGGTCCCGCGTGGGGGCAGGATCCCGGGCCCGGCTTCCGGGCCGCGGCGAAGCCAGCCTCGAGGCCGACGCGCACCCGCCGCGGTCGGGACGCGCCGAGCGCCACGCCGCCTTCCCGGAGCCCGGTGCCGGCGGGGCAACTTCCCCACCCCGCCGATGCCCGACGCGCCGCTTACCGATCCTGCCAGCAGACAGAGGAGCCGTCTTCCGGCTGCGGCCATAGCCGCTAACCCCACGCCCCCCCCACCGCGGCCGGCGGTGCGCACGCGCGCCGCCGCCGCCGCCGCCGCCGCCGCGGCCTCTCTAGGAAGCTGGGAGGGCCCGAGTCTCTGGTCCTCCCACCCCGTGCGGCCGCCGACCCGCCGGGATGCGCATGCTCCCTCCCGCATCCCGCCTGTCCCGGGGGACGCCCGCCTTCCTCTCGGGCCTCCGTAGGGGGTCCCAGAACCCGGTGGGCCTGGGCCTGCTTCCCCACCTCCTCCCGCCCCGCCGTGTGGGCAGGACTGCGCATCCGCTAGGCTCCGTCCCCTTCCTCCTCCGGAGGCACAGGGCGAAAGAGGGAAACCAGGTCTAGCGGAGGGCTTTGGCGGGGAAGGAGCTGCTGTTGAGTCGGCCGCTCAGTCTCCTTCCAGGGAGTGTGTCTCCAGCGGCGCGATCAGTAATGACTTCACGCCCTTTGACATTTTCGAATGCTCGGTTTATTCACTTCAAACACATCAAACAATCTGACAATCTTAAATTAACTTGAGCCACTCGCTAGAAGGGTAACACAGACGAAGTCAGCATTCTATCACTGACTGGCTTTAGTCCGCTGGCATTGCCTTCATCGGTGACCCACCTGGGTAGCTTTGGAGAGAGCAGGAGCTGATGTCTCCTCCTTGCTTCCTAGCTCTCTGAGTGCCTTCTCTATCCCTGGCCTTTATAGGCGGTCTTGCTGGCTCTCTGACGTCCTTCTTATGTTCTGCCAGGTCTTATCAGGGTTCCCCAGATGTGTCTGGGGCTTCTAGGTGCCGCCCTGGTAGGTGGCTTACTTCTTTTCAGTGAGTCCGCATTTCTTACTGGGCTTTCAGTCTCTCAAAAATGGAGTCACTTATGTTCACAGGTGGTATGTAATTCAGCATCTTGCAATGAAGTTCCGCGTTTGTAAGGTAACGAGCTCTCATCAGAGTGGGACCAGCCGCAGCCAGAGCAAGGCTTTTTTCCCTGCCCCCAGTAGCAGCCTTGGTGGTCCCCTTTCCAACTATGTTGTTGTTGCCATCAAGTGTATTTCGGGTCATAGGGACGCTGCGTGACAGAGTAGCACTGCCCTGGTGGGCTGCGTTGGCTATAATTGTCAGGGACAGGAGTCCAGATGGGGCAGAGGTTGAAGTGCTGGGCTGCTAATCAGAAGGCTTGAGGTTGGAAGTCACAAATCACAGGGCAGTCGGCTTCTACAGATACTACAGCCTTGTTAGTCCGGGTAGACTAGAGAAACAAATTCATAGACACTCATGTGTGTAAGAAAGAGCTTTATATAAAAAGTAATTGTACATTAAGCATCCCAGCCCTGTCCAGATCAAGTCCATAAGTCCAATATTATCCCATCTGTCCGATACCAATCTATAAAGTCCTCTCCAGACTCACAAAACACATGTCACAGGCCAGTGGGTGGGAAGTCTTGTGGATCCGGTGGCATTGTAAGCATCTCAGCACTGACAGAGGCCTCCATGTGGCTTCTCCAGCTCTGAGGCTCTGGCTGCCATCAGCCTGTCTCCATCCAGGAATGTCTCTCAGGGACTGAGCCTGTGTCCTACCTCCAGCGAGCTATTAATCTCCTTAGCGCCTCCAAATGTGGTCATCAAGCTGCCACCTGATTGACAGGCTAAACTCCACCCCTTTACTCTTAATCCTCTCAACAGGTGATGTAACTACGACAACAGAAATGTTAAATGTTTACAGACCAATAGATAACAATGTCCAGAGGATGACATGCATTCCAGAAAGTGTTCACAAGAGGGAAAATTGAATTTTAGGAAGCAAGGATGGGCTCTGAAATCTTTACTGGTTTAGGTCATTCAATTAGCTGAAAGAGCATGTACCACCTCTATAGTTTTAGCTGAAAGATCACATATCATGTCCCACCCTGATTGTCTCAAAGAGTTTGGCTTGGCATGCCCAGTAATGATGGCCAGATTAAATGTCTGATTGGGATGGAGTAATACACGACTTTTCAACAGAGGGCAGCAGTAAAATCCATCCCAGAATAAGTACACTTGGCCCTCCAAGAAGCCCTTGCAGTAGGAATCCATCTTGCGGAAAGAATGCATGCAGACTGCATTACCATAACCCTACCTGTGGGCCAGACTTCCAGGAAGTCTCCACCCACATGCTGAGTAATACCTTAATAAGCATATGGAATGGTATAGGACTTTTTGTGTGTGAACCTGGCTGCACTCCACTTTAGCCCACAGTGAACTCTTCTTGCAAAGGCTCTTAACTTTAACATCGGAGGGCATGCTGACTCCAAAGTCCCTATCGGTCTGATCCAGAGCAACGTTGGGCCGCAAGTGGAGTCCCTGTTGGTGTTTTGGTCAGATGCCTTCTGGTCAGTTCCAACTTGTAATGACCGTCTGTACAGCACAGCAAAGCCCTGCCCAGTCCTATGCATCCTCACAATTGTTATGTGTGAGCCCGCTGCCTTGGCCACCGTGTCAATCCACACGTCAATGAGGGTCTTTGGGATTTTTTTTTACTGACCCTCTTACCAAGCACGATGTCCTTCTCCAGGGACTGGTCCCTCCTGGTAACACCTCCAAAGTAGAGAAATGAAGGTTTACCATCCTTGCTTCCAATCAGTATTCTGCCTGTCCTTCTTCCCAGACAGTTGCGGTTGTTCTTTAGGCAAGCTGCGGTACTTTCCATATTCTTCACCAACACCAGAATTGAAAAGCATCCGTTGTTCTCTAGCCTTCCTCAACTGTCATGTGCAATCAAAGGCACCATGGCTTGAGTTAGGCGTCCTCAAAGTGACATCTTTCCCACGTTAAAACTTTCAAGAGGTCTTGTGTATCAGATTCACCTGGTGGAAGATGTCCTCTGATTTCTTAATTGCTGCTTCCATGGGTCTGGACTATGGATCCAAGTCAAATGAAATCCTCCACAACTTCCGTTTTTTCTCTCTTTAGGATGATGTTACCTATTGGTCCAGTTGTAACGATTTTTAAGTTTTAGGAGCACTTTATGTCATACTATCTGATAATCCAATCCTATGAAGAAGAGTCGTACAACTGTCACCATATTCAATTTTAGAACATTCTTTTTCCTTGCAGCCATTGTTATTCGTGTATTTTTTTTCTAATTGTGGCAAAAATATACAAAACAGGACACTCTCCAATTCCACAACTTCCACCTGTTTAAGTGTTCTTGTTTTCTTTACATTAAGTTGCAATCCACACACTGCAGTCTAGGGTCTCCAAAAGCCAACGCTCCAAGGGCTCCTCAACTTCAGCAAGCAAGGCGATGCCATCTGTCCGCTGCCGGTGATGCGGGAGCTCTCCCCCAGTCCTGATGCCACATTCCTTCACGTCGTCCAGTTTCTCGGATTCTTTACTCAAGACACAGATTGAATAAGTACGATGAAAAGATACCATCCTGACATACATCTTTCTTGATTTTTAAGCCATGCAATATTCTTACTCTATTCAATGACATTCTGATCCATGTACAGATTATACATGAGCACAAATATACGTTCTGTAATTCCTGTTCTTATCAAGGTGACCCATAGTTTGTTATGATCTATACAGTTGACTGTCTCTGCACAGTCAATAAAACACAGGTAAACATCTTTATGTATTCTCTGCCTTCAGCCAAGATTTATCTGACATCAGCAATGATAATCCTCATTTCAAGTCTTTTGAATCTTGCTTGAACTTCTGACAGTCCCCTGTCAATGTGCTGCTGAAACTGTTTCTTAATTAACTTTTGGCAGAATTTTACTTGCATGTGATATTAGTGATATTGTTCGATAATTTCTGTATTTTGTTGATCACCTTTCTCTGGAATGGATACGTATAGGGATCTCTTCTAGTCAGGTGGCTAGGCAATTGTCTTCCAAGTTCTTCAACACAGATGAGTGAGTGCTTCCAGTGTTTCCTAGTTTGTTGAAACATTTTCATTGGTATTCCATCAACTCCTGGAGCCCTGTTTTACTCTGGTGCCTTCTTTGGAACTTGCATTTCTTCCTTCAGTATCATTGGTTCTTGATCATATGTTCCCTCTTAAAATAAATTAACCTTAATCAATTCTTTTTTTGGCTCAGTGACTCTTCCTATTCTTTCCTTTTTATTTTTGGATGTTTCTTGCATCCAATTCAATAGTTTAGAATCCTCCAGTGTTACAATTCCAGGCTTGATTTTTCTTTTCTCAATTCTTTCAGCTTGAGATAAACTGAGCTTGTTTTCTTTGGCTTTCTAGCTTCAGATCTTAATACCTTTCAGTAGAATACTAACTTCGTCTTTTCCAGCCGCCCTTTGAAAATGTATGTTAATCTCTTTTACTTCTTCATTTCTTCCATTTGATTTAGCTACTCTATCTATGGTCAAGAGCAAGTTTCAGCGTCTCTTCTGACATCTACTTTGGTCTTTTTTTTCCTCCTAATACAGATTACAGATTGTTCCCCCTGGAGAGAGCTCAGGACACCCAGGGTCAAGCCAGCTCAGGGATGGCCAATGTTAAACCACCATCTTAACTCTAGAACCCACCCACCTTGTTACTTATGTGCCTTCCTACCACATGTATGCTTCTAGTACCTCCCCTTCCTATGCCTCTAGTACATGCCCTTCCTGGTTTATGTACAAGTATGACATTGCTTGCATGCCCAATGATTACATAAGGCTGTCGGAGAATACATTTGCTCTCTCTGGTTCCTGTCTCCATGGAAGAGGTGAGCCCTTGCATGCCTTGTTT